CCAGAATGCCCTGACTTCCAAACAAACTCTGGTGGGGTTTGACTTATATATGTACGCAACACGAACCAAAGAATCCAAAAACAGGAAGTGGTGTCACAAGATGTGACCCTAAAAAGGACAAAATAATCAGGCATACCCGGTTCTTCACATAGGACACTTATTTTATAAGCTTTTTGTGGTTTATAAGCTGGTAAAAATACCGTATTACCATACAACGAGCACATGGAATTGTTTTGATTTTCGGTAAATTTGCATCATAAAAGCTATATACATCATAAAAGCTGTCCAATCAGGTTCACTGTTAAAAATGACAGTGTGAACGTTTAGCAAACTAGGACTAAATGTATCCTTTTTTTTTTTTTTTTGATCTGAACCAAAAGAACTAAGAGAATGGAACTACCAGTGTAAAAACCCTTTGTTTTAATAATTTTACTACTTCAATTTAAACATATTCAGTTAGTTGCCAAGACAATGTTTCTAATTTTCATTCTTTTTTTTTAACTTGTTCATTTAAAAATTATATTTTGTTTTATTTTAGCTTTAGATTTTAATTAATGAAAATGATCCTCAACTTTTTTAGTTAACAATGACACTGTTTCTGTATATTTGCCATGATTTACATCATATTCACATTATGTCCATTTTGCTGTTTCTCTGTAAATGGGAGAAAGAGTCTAATATCCTCTCTTCTATAACATCATTGAAGACAGATCTATAGCAGAAATGTGCTAGCCAAGATGATGTCTGTGGAAGCAGTGACAGAAGGGGTATTCAGGAGGTATTCCTGACACTTCCTGAATGAATATCCCTCACATGAGAATTATATTCTCCCCCTCACACTGTTCCAAATTTACTGCACCTGATAGAATCTGAAAATATCTCGCCTTCAGATCCAATGCAGAATAGAAATGTTCATGCAACTTTTACTATGAAAACTTATACAGACTTTACAAATCTATAAAATAAGTAACATGCACATCTGAATTTGGCTATATTCACTGCATATTATGAAATAGCGTTAATTGGTTCAGTGATATATTTCATTTAAAATTAAGTCCTACTAATTGTACTGTATGTTTTCCAGAGTTGTAACTTAATAACGGCACATCTTTCTGTAAAGTAAACACTGTTCATTGGCACATCAGGCACATGTCCATGTTATGTACCAAAAGCAGTATAACTCAGTTTAGGAGCTTTCCTATGCCATATGACAGATGTGTCCTCTGAGCATATTGCTGTCTCATATCGCTGGAACAAGGTTAGAATTCATTCCTCACCCTGTCTTCCCTCCCCCAGCAGTGCATCCATCAGAACAACATGATGAAGCCCCATTTTGCTTCCAACATGTGACTGAAAACAGTCTCCTCTGGGAAAGACTTTTTAAAGACAACAAATTCTGAAATTTAACTCAAACATGAGGTTTAAAATGGAAAACCTTATTAGGTTATGAACTGTATGCAGCGAGTTTGGACGCTTTGAACGCCCCATGTTTGACTGACTGGAGCATTAGGAGGTTGATAGATGCATACATGTTTGAATGGCTTTGGAGAACACTGCTGCTCTTGGGGAAAGGGAATTCCAGAGGCTCCAGCATGCTCTAGAGGCTCACCATCAAGATACTGTTGTATGAATGTTGCATAGATAAGTACACATTAAAAAAAATGCCATATTGTGTCAGAAGTCAGAGACGGGAGATTCTAGTGCCAGTTTGATATTCAGTGCTTAACCCAGACCTCTGTGTATGTGTATCAGGCATCCTTTGAAGTGGAATGTTAGAATATGATAAACTCTTTAAAAAATATATTGAAATATTATCAGTGAGGAGTAGCATTTTTTTAAGTAAATCTGTCAATATTACTGGAGCTAAAAATAAAAGGTCCCACTAACACTTTTGAGAACATTTGACCTGGCATGGAAACAGAAAAACAGAAGACTTTAGAGAAATGTAACATAAAAACAGCTTTCTACTGCTTCACAGCAATCCTGGATTGCATATATGTTGGTGTTAAAAGAAAATGACACATTTAATTAATGCACATGCTTAACATGCATTATATGCTGTATATGGCTGTAGGGCCATGACACAGAGGGAAATGCTTTATTGTCCCATATATTTATTGTCCCAATAAAGTCTCTTATAATTAACTGATGACTCTGAGCAATTTCATTACAATCAGAAAAACACATTTGCATTTGTCAGAGTAACGGATATTAAAGTTCCTTCACAATCACACCCAGGGGTAAATGTGGGGTGAGGTAAGCTTGTTTATTTATAGATACAAGTTTCCACAGTAAGGGTGTCCTTGTACACATTCAGATAGTCTAAATATAGATCTTCATTTACAAAGAACAATACTGAGAATATAATAGGGAAACTTACTATACACAGATATAATTCCAGTCTAGTTCAGATTATATAAAGCATGCATCCATGTAGATAAGCCTTAAAGGGACAGTTCACCCAAAAATCTGTCATCATTTACTTAACCTTGTGTCATTCCAAACCTGCATGACTTGTAGAACCTGGAAATGCTGGAAATAATGTTCTTTTAAATTAGGGGTGCGCCGATCCGTTATTCAGTATCGGTATCGCTCCGATACTGGCATTTTCTGCTGGATCGAGTATCGGTCAGACGAGGCCGATCCAAATCCGATATTGTGCGTATACTATTCTGTGTTTATTAAGCCCCACGAAAGCCACAAAAAACATTATAAAGCACAATAAAGTTTTCGCGTATTATATTTCAAGTGTTCTGAAGCCGTTCCATAGTTTAATGTGAGGTGATGAATATTTACCTAAGTCAAGTTCACATAACTCTTCGCTACGCTGCGGCTGTCTGTCATTCTCCATTCAGTGTTCAAACTGCGTGTCACGTTCGGTTACGACAGTCAAGACGATGAAACTCTCTCTAAGATGATTCAATGTTCCTAATATTATACTTGATCTGTAAATAAAGATAAATGATTTTGCATAAAAGGACTTTATCTTGCTGGAGTTTTGTGCCGTTTCTAAATCATGTTAATTTCTACCAGGTATCTGTTAGATCGCAACACTGGTGTAGAGAGCTCTATGAATTGTTCTTCACGAGCACAGTGACTGAAATTTAAATCTGTTAAAAGAAAAGGCTCAATAAACTAACACACAGATTGAATACACTGCGCATTATTATCTCTTCACTTTGTGCTTTGAACTTCCCTATGCTGCGCGCTGTGATTCCGTGTTGCTTCAAGCGCATCATTCTGCGCACGGGATGCGCATAAGCGCTTTGTGCCGGTCTGTATTGGAGCCTTTTGTATTATAATACTTTTGCGCAATGAAAGATTGTTAATAGCCTTTCTTGTTCGTCTTATCTATCATATGTTGCTGCAACATTACTTTGCTATACATTTAAAATAAATGTCTTTTAATTTATAATATGTGACCCTGGACCACAAAAAGTCATAAGGGTCCATTTTTTAAAATTGAGATTTATACATCATCTGAAAGCTTAATAAATAAGATATTTAATAATAAATAATAATAAATAATATAAATGATAAATAAATTAATAATAAAGAATAAATAATAATATTTATATATAAATATATTTATATTTTGTCTAAATATAGACAACGCTAAGTTGTCTATATTTAGTAGATTGTGTGTAACACACAAAAGAGTGACAGGTCAACACGCATTGAGGTATAGAAATTCTACACTGATTAAAAAAAAAAACTGCACTGGTATCGGATCGATATCGGTACCGGCAGATACTCAGAATTTTTGGTATCGGATCGGGATCGGTTCTGAAAAAGTGGTATCGAGCCAGCCCTATTTTAAATGTCTATATGATCTTAGTGGGCTCCAGTATGTGAAATTAACAATATTTAATTATTGATTCTTTTATCCATGATTGGATAGATGGAATTCTAGACATTGACTGTAGCAACCAAAACTTCCGAAAGAAAATACATTTCTGAAGAAACAAGACTCATTTGCATAGACGTGTATTTTAAATAATTTATTTCAAAATCAACAGTTTTGGGATGTGATATTTGAGTGATGCATAGCATATACTGTATATAAAACTGCAACTTGTTGGTTATGCTAAATAATACTCCCATAAATGTAAAATAATTTTTAAAGCCTTTCGATTAGTCTCAAAATACTGCTTTTCTCCAAATGTTTCATTCCACAGAGATGTGACCTGTAAAGCTAATTACATTTATAGAAGAAAACTATGCATTAGGGAGATGCATTTTACATAATTTTGTTTGGCAATAGCAAAAGGATATTAACAGCACGAGAGTGCTCGCTTATGAAAGAAGCTAAAAAGTGTGAAAGTAGGGTCAAGATCAATACATTATTTCTGTGTCTTCTGTGTCATCCGACCCTAGATTGGGAGACAGGCACTAATTTAAATTCGTGCCAGAGCCTGGTGATGCTACCATTAATTCCTGATAAGAAAGGACCGTTGTACTGCTTTCCTTAATCTTTGACTGATGCTTCTGCACGATCAATATCCTTTCTTTCTCTATTTCCCTTTTTCTTTGCTTTTTTTCACTTGAAGATTGATCGTTCAGAGTTGTGAGCTGTTTACGCTCACTCCTCAACGCTCATTATTGTCGCAATTAGGATGTCTTCTGGGACTAAGGTGGGGGTGGATGAGTGGGGGGCCGACATTAAAATCCACTGACCCCCCTGACATTCTCATCTAGTCCGGGTTGTTCAGTGAAGCAGCCTTTGACGGAAACTTATTGTGGTCAAGGGGTAAGAAAGCATCTCAAACAAGTGGATTAAGTGAGAGAGAGCGCAAGCGAGGGGGGACGCGAGTGTATACGTACGCATGTGTGTGTGTGAGCGAGAGAGAGAGAGAGAGAGAGAGAGCAGGAGACAGAGAGAGAAAGCGAGAGGACGAGAGCGTGGGGGGTGTTTGAGTTGCTGCTGCTTGTGCCGGTGAAGAGGAAATAATCACAGTGTTGTTTCCTCATGAATTATTAAGAAGCCCCCCCAGCCTCTTTTAGCTTGAGTCAAAATGCTGCATTTTCCTCTGTGGCTATAAAGCAAAGAGGAGATTTGTTGTATGTTTTTTGTTGTTGTTTTTTTGTTTTCCTAGGTGTATCACAGCTGGTAAGCAGGACTTGTAAGCGTGCCGAACAAGTGCTCAGATGAGCAATCCGAGCGCAGCACCAGGAGCATCAGCACTGAAGAGCTGGAACTGAGAGACAGAAGCAGTTCCCTCCACTGCACACGACAGCAGCGGCCACTCTCGCTCTGCATGCTTTTTTTCCCTTCCGTTCTTTCTGGAGTTGAGCTCTTGTTCGTCAGAGCAACGGGACTTAGTGGATACTGGGGCTCCGAGCTGTTATCCAAGCATCCCAAACGCAGACCTGGCTGCCCACATGCCGATCGAATTTGTTTGCAAAATCAAATTTGCAGAGGAGGATGAGAAGCAGAAAGGCAACCAGGATGGGGACAAGGAGAGCCTGATCGAAGAGAGCTGCAGCCCCCCAGCCAAGGACCTGGCCGGCTTCGCCAATGCCTGCTCGCTCCATGGGATTAACCACATCTTTGTGTCGGGCCGGCTGGGTGTCAGACAGACCCTCTGGGCTCTCGCGTTGCTGGTGTCCCTAGCTCTCTTTCTATACCAGGCGGCAAAGTGTGCCATCTCCTACCTGGAGCATCCTCACGTCACGGCACTGAACGAGGAGGCCACCCCAGAGATGGTGTTCCCCGCCGTGACCATCTGCAACATCAACCGTTTCCGCTTTTCCGCTCTTACCGACGCCGACATCTACCACCTGGCCAACTTGACCGGCTTGCCCCCCAAAAACAAGGACGGCCACAAGCCCACCGATTTGGAGTATCCGGCACCGGACATGCAGGACATCTTCAACCGGACGGGTCACCAGCTGGAAGAGATGCTGAAGAGCTGCAACTTCAGTGGGCAGAACTGCTCGGCCGAAGACTTTACAGTGGTAAGCTCGAGAAAAGTTTCTGTTTGGCTTGCAACTTTTGCTTCAGAAAGTTAACTTTAGAGAAAAAGTTAATGGCAAAAACTACATAGGGCCATTTATTATTAGAATCGAGAACATGGTGGAGGTGTAAAGAGCAATAAATGTCCAAAATCCTGTATCGGAACTGCTGGAATAGTGTGTTTATTTGCACTGTAGAAGCGAATGTTCTGTTTTCAGATGAAACTGAGGAGTCTGCAGGTGTTGCAAACAAATTCAATTTATTATTACAAGGGAAACACTTTCTGTTAGTGGTGAGGTGGATAGATATGCTTTCTTCTCTGGTTTCTCTGTAAATAGGGCACAGACATGGCTTACTATCCTCATTGTGTTCACAGGAGAGGTCCTGTTTCTCTGTACTCATGATTTCTTATAATATACCGACAGCAGCAGGGGATTCAGCTGTTCTCCTCAAGGGAGAAGAGCAGGGTGCATTTTTATATTTACTTTTCTGTTGTTTGATACCGCCACCAGTGTCAGCTTCTGAAAGAGTGCATGGCAACAATACTGCTTTGTAAAAACTCTCACTCACTTTTTATACCACCTTTGCCAAGAGTGAAGTTTTCTCAGTGTTGTATTTCAAACCTGTCACTGTTGGAATTAAATATTTAGAGTCTGAAATCATACATGATTTTTGCATTAGCTAAATTGGTTAAAACGAATAAAACAAATTCCATAAGCTGACCAAGTCCATTCCAGAAGGTCTTATATGTGTCCATCATGACATATTTATTGAAGTTATGGATATGGCTTGGATATGGCAGAATGGATATGGCTTTGGTAATGGCAAAGAACATTTGTCAAGTCTTAATAGGAGTGTTGGACATACATACCTTACTGAGATGGACACATTCTCCATCTTGATAACATGGAGCGACCCTTTGATGTAGTATAGAGTTTTAGTCTTCTGCTCTACTCAAGGTAGATACATATGTTTGATCCTAAGTACCATTCATGTGATACAAGAAATTAGAAGTGACGGCTGAGACTCTCTCGGCTTCTCTCTTCCACTCCTACTTTCTTTCACCCCTTCTTTACGGTCTCTCTCCCCATTGGCCACAGCAGGGAAAATGCCACGCTTCTGCAGAAAGATAAAAGCAAAGCTGAGAAGAGAAAACGGTAAAAGTTGTGACAGCCAAATGTGAAATGTTGTCCTCACAGTTGTTTGTGCTTGCAGTTTGTTCAAGAATTCAAAGATGAATTCAAGAGGCACAGGTTATCTGCATCAGACATTAAAAGACAATTTACTCCCCTCATGTCGTTCCAAACCTGTGTGACTTACTTTCTTCTGTGGTACCCAGTTGGAGAAATTCTGAAAAATGTATTTCAGTGTAACAACTTTGAATTGGGACTAGAGCTTTTGAGCTTCAAAAAGAATGTAAAAGCACCATGAAAGTGTCATAAAAGTAGTCTGTGTGACTTGTGAGTCCCCTGGAGCCACAAAATAGCTGTGTGACAAATTAAAAGACCAAAATTACGTTTTTTTTTATTATTAAATTCATCTGCCTTTGATCTCTTTAACACGTTCTTAGGAGGTAACGAGAGAAGGAACAATGTCTGATTCACAAGTGATATATTTACATTGAATCAGTTGATATGATCTGAGTGATTCATTCACAAACCAGGTAATATTTGGTTATTGTGATGCACCGTTTCATTAGCAGTGGTTAAAGGTCACATATTTTACACCTTTCTGGAGTTTTATTTTAGGTTTTGATGTCCTTAAGAATATATATTTGCGGTATAAGTACCAAAAACCATCTCAATATATTTTTACAGCTCCTTTCTCAGGAGCTCTGCTCAGAAAAGGTCGATTTTGACCTGTCTAATTAATATTCACGAGCCTCTCTTCTGATTGGTCTGTTGTTTTCTGAGTGACGCACGGCCAGGCCAACCACAGGTAACTAGGGTCAGCCGACGTCACAGCGCTAGCTGGAGGCAGCAAAACAAAGGGGAAACTGGAGGCGGCCCATTCAAACCAGCGCAGGTTCGGCTACATAAGGAGCTTAAAATATCATCTTGTTGTGATGTTGGGTGCCAGAATCAACGTAATACAGCCTCAAATTAGAAATCTGATCGCATGCATATCTGCTGCCACTGCCAGACAAAAAAACCGACGACGGCTGTGGTTAAATGCGATAAAAGAGCGGACTGGACAGAAACGATCATCAAAAATGCTCGCATTTGCAGCCCACACTTCTTATCAGAAAAGGTTCAATAAAGTATTGTCTTTTGTTGTTATGGATGCGTCTACAGATTTCTTGCCATATGCATCTCACGACTATGTCGTGTATGAAATAATGTCTGTTTGAATGTGCGTAAAACAACAAACTGACGAATTATATATAATCATTTGTAATTGTACGTGGTTAAAGTTAACCTTTTAGACATGTTTCCGTGTTGTTGTTGCTCAGCAATGGCATGGACACGATGTTGTCTGGGGTTTGGCAAAAGGAGAGTGGGACAGTGGGCGGTGCTCGGGGTGGTGACTGAAGGCGGTGACTGTGTAGTTCTGACATCAACTTTTTACGGAAGTCACAACAGTTCGTGAAAAATCACAGCTACTTTATGTAGGCTGTGTGCATTTTACTGTGGACTGACTGTTTTGAAACTTATATGGTAGTTACATAGCACCTAGACCTCAGTTATCATGAAAAAAGCCAGGAAATTTCAGATTTGACAATATGGGACCTTTAACTGCTTTTGGAGGAAATTAAATGTTGCTGTTAAATTACTCACCCTGAGGCCGTCCAAGATGTAGGTAACTTTTTTTTTCAATAAAACAGTTAAGAAAATTTTTTGCTGAAACCGTGGTCCTTGGTGATTCATAAAATGCAAGTCAGTGGCTACTGGCACTTGACAGTCAAAAAGAGCATATACAGGCATCACAAAATTAATACCCATGGCTCCTGACGATATATTGAAGTCTTATGGAGTGAAACGATTGGTATGTGCAAGAAACTGAAAATTATTTACAACATTGTTACAGACCACGGTTTCAGCTAAAAATCATCTTTACTATGGTTACATAGCAACAGTTACATAATGCACTATTTGTACTACCTTTATGATACTTTTATGGTGCTTTTGCATCACTTCCATCAGTGCCTAAGTTCCCATTCTTCGTAACTTCATAAAAAAACTGCAGTACATTTCTCCATTTGTGCATTACTGCAGAAAGAAAGTCATACAGGTTTGGAACAACATGAGGGAGAGTAAATGAGGACATAGTTTTATATACTGTATACATACATGTGTATATATCAATTTTAAGAAATTTTAATCCGTTAATAATTTGTTTCGGAAGATGCGATGGGCTATCCCATGTCAGCACGGGCCTCTCGCCAGCCACAGAAGGACTTCTTTATGAATTAATCTGCTTAAAGTTCCCTGCTCCACCATTCTCTTCCATCAGCCCTGTAATCTGTGTCTGAGAGGCTGTCAGTTAGATTAGTTACAGGCATCTTGCTGTCTCCACGCATGATGAGACACTTCCTCCATCCCACTGGCTGCGCAACCCGGGCAGAAAAACAAGGAGCAATTTTTGAGATGCGTCTCTTTAGCCTCTCCAGTGTGACTAGATTGCAGATGTAAGAGTGAACGGGATCACTGCGACTATCCCGGAAGCTTCGTATTAACAGCAGACCGGCTGATATTTTTAGTATAAAGTGTAAGAGATGACCTTAGCTGTGCTTGCTGGCCTCTGGGTGCGTGCGGATTACTAGCCTGAGGAAAAGAGCAGACGGCGTGTTCGTGTCTAGCCTATTCCAGATGCTGCGTTTATTTAATGACTGCATCAGCAGGGAAAGCGGTATATTTTCGATCAATCACATCCCTGGCATTTAGCCCCACTACTTGGTTTCAGCAATTGCACTCGTAATATGAGATGTTCATTTGTCATTCCCACGCCCAATGTCCTAGAGCTCTTCCCGTTCAGAAACACTGCAACAATAATCATTATATCAAAAGAACAGAGGTACGTTCAAATGTCTGCATCATAGATCATCACACTGTTTTATCATCAAATAAAAGGGCAAAAAAATCAAAGGCAAAATTTTCAAATTGGGTGTGCATATTCATTATATATATGTTCGTTGCTAAGCACAAATGTTTAATTTATGGTCTTTGATTTATGCTGATGTTAATAAAAATAGCATTTCCATTTTGCCTCATAGATGTAAATGACTTATATAACTGCTTTCAATTTAATGTAGCATTTTGTCTCACTTGTGAATATAAGAATTTCCTCTTCCTAGAAAGCTTATTGCAAAAGACATGCAGGACATGTATTTAAAATTGTATGAACAGCAGTCTAGTGTTCATGAAATCTGTGTTTATTTTAAATGAGTAGGTCTTTGAATTACTGACATTGTCAAAGGTTAAAAGGGGTTCTAATCATATTTAAAGATAGGGCTGGGCAATCAATTGTATTTTCACCGTGATCACCATTTCTGCTTCTTTCGATTAATTAAGTCATCTACGATATTGGCACACTGGTATTTTTTTCTATTGACATTTCTGTTAGCTTGCATTGGTAACAAGAATCCACCAGATTTCATGCTTGGGGTTGCCAGATGCCAGAGTTTAAATCCCCTAAATAAAGCTTTTCTCTTAAATAGACACATTTTCTGCACAGCTCTAAAAAAAGTGCTGATGATCTGAAAACTCAGCTGGAGTTTAGCAATCTCAGTTGCGATATTGCGAAAGTGTAATACAGTAAGTGTGTCTTCATTGACGACCATTGTTTGCCATTTTTTAAATCTGTGAGCAAATCTGATCAGTGACAAACTGTCATAAATCCAAGAATATCGATGGTACTGTTAGCAATTATGGTTGCTGAATAAATATACTTATGCAACCTCTGTGCTACAATACTTTGTACTTTTTTTTAATAGAAAAACACTAACATAATTTGGAATTATTGGAATTAATTTAGGAATATTAGGAATTTCACTCTACACAGT